GTACTGTATATATTATAAAGAATACAGATAGTTCTTAAATAATGGCTACTTGTTCAGTGCCCACTTGCAGTTAGAATGGGACTGAATGAATGATACTTATGATCAGTCCTTTAAGTTCCAGCCACCCCAGCACTCCTGCAGTCATGTGATCACAATCTGGATGCTTGGAAATCAGCTTACATTTATGATAGTTATAGTACCTCCTGGTCAGGTGATCCTCACTTACAACTTTCTTTTCTGGCTTTGCACAAGAAAAGTCAAAGAGGAAGCCAGCAGGGGAGATCCCAAGTCACTCCTATTAAGTCATTTCCACCACTTTTTCTCCTGAGAAAGAGCTATGTAAAGATCCTGGGAATCTTGAACTTTGTGGCACGTGCCCTCCAACAGCACACCTCTCCTCCCCACACACCTGCCCTCCGTACTGCATGTCTGCTAACCTGCTTGGCGCTGTGTCACAGCATCCACCTGTGCAACTTCCTGCCCCTTGCAGCAGCCATACCCAGTCTGGCTGTGTTTTCACCCACCTACCTGTCCACTGGTCTGCTTGCAAGCTCCATAGGACTTGCAGTTTCTTGTCGGCTTCCCTATCTAAGTTAGGGCTCTGTAAGGAATGTAAGAGGAGATCTTAATCCCTAATTTTCACTTAGCAACAGAAATTGGAACTGCTGGGACTGCTGTTGCTAAGTGATGCAGTCATGTGACACCGCACATTACAACTGCATTGCTTAGCAGTGGAAACTCTGGTCCCTATTATTGTTTTAAGTGAAGAGTATCTCACGAATGAAGGTGAATATATGTGTCCTGGAATAATGCTGCAGGATCCAATCTGGGTCGGTCACTGGGACCAGATGTTTTGTCTTCTGTGCTTTTTGACTCATGCTGGAGCCCATCTTCAGGGAATTTTTCCTTAGCACCAGTCTGAAACTCGGAAGACAAAATCTCTGGTCCTGGTAACCAATCCAGATTGGATCCTGGAATAGTATTTGCAGACAACAGTGCAAGATATGCTCCCAGGGTTTCAAAATTTGATATATCAAGTATCGTGGCATTATTAAGTGCAAAGTATTAATGTTACACAGCTTCCCCAAGGTTTAATATATTTTCACGTCCATACAGTTGTCTAATATCTCTAATAATCCTTAGCAATATGACAACCTGAAATGTTAATTTGCTAGTGCATTTCTCATTTCACTGTGCGTTCCCAAGAGTAAAGCAATTTTCGATGAAAGAATAAAATTAAAATACTCTTTTATTATAGTACTTCCTAATGCAATATCCATCCGCTACAGATAATTGTAGGGAGTTTATTATGCGAATGAATTTGGGAACAGACAATAATAACCTTTTAAATGCAACATGAGTCCAGGGACGTGTTGTGAATAGACCTTTAAATCAAAGTCTTTAAATTAGAGAGCCTGTCAAGGTATTTTATAATATCAAAAACACTGATTTTAAATAAATAAGTTCACTTGTGTTTTTGAAAACAAGCAATAAAATGTTACCATTGTTTTCACTAAGCATGACAAATGTTATCTGACTGTGTGAAATGTTCGTATTTGTATTTTTTATGCAAAGGATGCATAAAAAATTCCAGATACAATTTATTTTTTTAAAAAAATATAAAACTACTTGAGAAAGCGTATGGGTTGAAAGACGTCCTTGAATGCAATTACGCAATAAATATTCTATAAAGATATATGGTAGCAGGAGCCGTTGGAGCTGCAAACAGACTCCGGCAGCGAGGGGCCTTATGAGTCGGCTCTGGAAGAGGTGGAGAACCCTGAATAGGGTTCCGACTCTGAGCAGGGCGCAGAGAGGCTGGTTGGCCACTAGGAGGCGTCTGAGGCATTGAGCAGGGGTGAGAGCCAAAGGGAGTGTGCTCCTGACGTCATGCCTTGGAGTAGTGACGAGGAGACAAGGGAGATGGTCCTGGATGCCCGGCAACATCAGGCAGATCAACGGAGAGAACAGCTACGCAGTTACAAAAGATAATTGGACCCAGGTGATTGTAATTAGGCTCCTCTCAACATTGTATTTAAGGAGCGACTGGGAGGAGTCTGGTTTTGCAGGATTCAACTTGATTCTTAACGCTGGAGAAGCTGTTATCTGTCTCTGTTGAAGTCTGAGTTGCTGCCAAGGTTCTTATCTGTTTCTTATGCTTGGACTTTCAGCCACCGAGGTTTAT